GCGGAATAGCGTATGCTCTCCTCTGTCGACGGAGCCGACCACTGGGGTTACACTAAGCCGCCGCCCGTCGAGGAAGCAGTTGCAGCGCATCTTTGTCTTATAAGGCTTATATGGCAGCCGGCAGCATCTGCGATCCACACTATGGCTGTTCTCCAGGCTTTTCAAGCCAAAATTCTGCAAGCGTTGGATGAGGAGGGTCCGGACTCCGCCGCTTCAAAAAGTTGCGTTCGGCCACTGACTTGGCGCTCAGAGCCACGAAGACGGCCACTGTAAATCAGAAAAGAAAATCAGCCGCTGTATGGGCAGTCTCGTCACGCTGCAGCGGCATCTTTGGCTCATGTTGACGGACATGAGGGAGTCGGAGAAGGCTCAGCTGTTGGATGCGCCCATATCTCCGCTCGGCCTGTTTGGTGAGGCTATAGGCTCGTTTTCTGAGAAGTTTCTGGAGGCCACTCCAGAAGGCGATGAGCCACTTCCTTCCGAAGAGAGATCGGTCCGCTGCAAAAGATTTGGACTAGCAATCGATGAGAGCGCGTCTATCTCAAGAGCGAATACAGTCTTTGGTCAGTGCTCTCACCTCGTTCAAACCAGGGAGAGTGTTAATTCTGAAATGCTTTCAGAGAATGTTAGGGCGTATGGCAACAGCAGCTGTGGTATGTCAGCTCGGGCTTCTGCATACGAGATTACTTCAGCTATGGCTGAAATCCCGGGTGCCAAGCAAACCGTGGAAGAACGGTCAGTTGCGTGTCTTGTTGACCCACGGATGCATGCAGACACTAGCCCCCTGGTTCAACAAGAAGATGTTCGAAAAGGGAGTCTCGATGGGCAGAGTGGTCAGCAGAAAAATCGTCACTAGGGACGCGTCATTGACGGGCTGGAGAGCCCTTTGCGACGGCAGACTGGCTTATGGCACTTGGACGAGTGCGCAAGCAAAGTGGCATATAAACTGCCTAGAGTTGAAGGCAGTATTTTTAGCTTTGCAGGGCTTTCTTCCACTGATAAAGGATCGACACATCCTGGTTCGGACAGACAACACGACGGTGGTATCCTATATCAACCATCAGGGAGGTATTCGTTCACGCTCACTTCAAAGGCTGGCAGAGCATTTCCTCCTTTGGGCAGACAGAAACCTTCTGTCGATTCGAGCAGTACACGTTCCCGGCAGTCAGAACTGCGGCGCGGACATGCTGTCTAGGGGTGGCCGAGTCCACGGGGAGTGGAGGCTGCACCTGCAGACTATTCAGTTGATTTGGAGTCTGTTCGGAGAGGCGGAGATCGACTTTTTTGCCTCAGAGGAGAAAGCGCATTGCCAGCTGTTCATCTCGGTGACGAACGCGCTCCTGGAGGGGGGATGCTCTCTCAAGTCGCTGGTCCAAGAAGCGCAAATATGATTTTCCCCCAGTGAAGACTATGCCGCCAGTGCTGCACAAAATCAGAGAGGAAAGGGAGAAGATGCTTCGGGTCGGGCGGAAGTGGCCCAACCAGCTGTGGTTCCCAGAGTTGGTGGAGCATTTAACGGCTCCCCCGTGGCAGATTCCGTTGCGGAGAGATCTCTTACATGCGCTGTCTATGAGCGCTGCATGTATGGAGTTCGGTAAGGATGACTGTATGGTCAGACTGCAGCCTAGACAGGGGTATGTACCTAAAGTGCTTTCTACGTCATTTAGAGTGCAGGTCATCACGCTACAGGCGTTTGCTCCTCAAAATTCGGAGCCAGCGACACACCCACTATGCCCAGTCCGTGCTCTGTGAGTTTATCTGGAGAAGACTAGTAATTTCAGATTGCTGGAGCAGCTGTTTATATGTTTCGGTAGCCGTACCAAAGGACTGCCAGTGTCAAAACAGCGGTTGTCACATTGGATTGTGGAAGCGATCGCGTTGGCGTATGCTTCTAAGAATGAGGCCTGTCCGTGGGGAGTACACGCCCACTCCACGAGAAAAATGGCTTCGTCGTGGGCCTGGGCAAAAGGTATGTCGATTCAGGAAATTTGTTTGGCAGCAGGATGGTCTTCACAGGACACCTTTGCCAGATTTTACAACCTGGAGATTCCGTCATTCGCACCGCTCGTTCTGTCTGTGCAGTGATGTATCTACAGCTTGGTATTGGTTACTGCCTGCACCTGGCCACGCCCGCAGTCGATCAGGGTGGTTTCGACTAGGTCCGGTGGACTCAAGGCATGCCTATAACGATATATTATACTGCCCTACAAAGGCAAAGTGCAGTAACTACACAAACACTGAAACTGAAACTGAGAAAAATGCCTTTAAAGTTTATACATTAGCCAGTCAAACATGTTGTGGGTAGATTAGTGGCAGTGCATTCATTTAAAGCCTTCTTAGGATGACATTTTTTTATAGATAAAAACCATGACCACTGATGTCACTTTGACCACCAAAATTCAGATACTGCACTGCCTTTGGATGACCTTACACAACTAAAACACTATTGCAAAAGCAAAGTGCAGTATCTACAAACTAAATGTGTTCATCCAACTTTCTTGTTGTGTTTCTTACTACATGTAGATTGTTTTTAATAACTTTAATAGTTTTATTGATGTTTGCATGTTGTGAATGTTAAAAATGCTCAGTAGTAAGTCTTAAGATGGTCTTATCGCAATGCTCCTTTCACCACAAAGAGTGTTTTGCTCATTTTATTTAAAAAGTAATTCATTACAGACCAAGTAGTTAAAACAGTAGTTAAAAATGCACACAATTTAAACTTTGCCTAACAATATAACTAGGGATGCCATAAAGGAAAATAAGGGATAATTGTGATTCTTTATAGGAAAATAAGGAACAGAATAAGGGATGCTCAAAATATTTGTACTGTACCACATCCTGTACATCATTTCCATGTTTGCGGTTAAGTATATATATAAAAGGTGTATAAAAGTTCTCAGAAAAATCATCTGTTTGCTTAACGTATTTATGTACAATTATTCTAAAAGGCATTTTAATGTCATACAAAAAAATGTCACACACATTACACACAAACCACTGGCCTGTGAAATAGTGAAAGAAGTCATCCCTCAGGTAGATTGCATGTTTTCTAGCCTATAGCTGGATGTTGTGCTCATGATAATCATGTTGTTTGCATTCACCCAAACTGATTTGCCGAAATCAAAACGCGAACGGTGAAGGGAATTGCAGACAGCGCGAGTCCCGCTCGCTGTGAACCAGGAGCGACACGGCGGCAGAGGATTCCGCTTGGTCATAAAGCCTCCCTCGAATGTGTTAACAAATGAAACGGTGACTTGTGCAAAAAGAAGAATGATTACTTATCAATTAATAATTAGTTATTTGCATGGTCTGGTAGTCATATGGCGTATGCCTGCGAATAGGGGACAAACTGCGTTCCGTATAACTTTCAAACAGAACCGTTCTTTGATGAATTATATAACTTTACCGGAGCCAGCTAACTTTTGAAGGAATAACCCCTGTTACTGTACTACAATTGGATTAGCTGCCTGAAACGTTAAGAGATGTCCGAATCAACAAACATCAACGCGATTATATAAATCAGATTATCATTACGTGTCAGAGTGGATATGAAGCAATGCAGGTAGGCTGTTTAATTTGCTAGCAGTTGGCTAGTTAATGTTAACTGATTATAAAGTTGTAATTTGCCTTGCTAGGAGTTAATATTTTGCTATCTTCCTGACACGTCTTTGGATATTTGCGTTTTAACGCGAGTTCAACCATCATTTGGCCGCGGGATACCAAGGCAGACCGCGCAGTATCTGCAGTGTCAAAGCCAGTGTTACAACACCTGGAAAACAAAGCCAGAACGCAGTAACTTCACTTACTGCGGTTTGCCTTGGTATTAGCTTGGATTTTGTAGTTACTGCAATTTTGACACTCTCGTTTCTCTGAAACGGGACAAAATTGAACCAGGAGACTTTGTCACAAGACAGAACGGATGTCACAAAGCCCATTTTAGGACTTAACTCAATTTTGACCAGATGTGTAGTTATTGCACTTTGCCTTTGGACGGCAGTATAGTCAGCGGCTCTCTACATGCGTTTGAGATGTTGTCGACAGCAGTAAGTGCGCTGTTTTTCTTATGAATCAAGTGGTATATGCGGCATATGTACGTGGCTCCAGCAGCGCTGCGGTCAGTCTATGTGTAGTGCTTATATTACTGTGCTTAGTCCCACCCGGTTCGAGCTGGAGGGCATTTGTTTTCCCCTGAGTGCCCTATGGAGTAGTCAAGGGGCTCAGCTCTATCGAAGTCTAGCTCATTAGACACTTCTCACCAGGTGTGGGAAATACAACACAGCGGGATTATACGCGTCCCCAAGCATAAGCCTTGATTCCCTGAAAGGAGGGAACGAGACACTGCGCACGCTGCTGTGTTGTAATCCTTGGAGTCTAGTACTCATTCGAACAGTCGAAAGATTCTGAGGTAATGATGCCGGCCTATATAGTGGGTGGCTCCGCCCCTAGTTCGAGCGCTTGAGCGTCACTGGCCGGTAAAATTTACCGGCGCGATGCAATTAGGCTTCAGTATTTGGGAGGGGCCACATTTTTCCACACTTCAGCATTAATTTATGTATTTGCCATATCGTCCAGCCCAAAAGCTGCTCAATATTAAAGCATTAAGGCATTATAGACATAACAGTATGACTTCCTGAAAAGCTGCTTTGAAACAATGTGTATTGTAAAAAGCGCTATACAATGATACAGCCATATGAATAAAGCCTTTTTAACAAGAAAATTGTTCTGTTGCTCTGTCCACATTAAAGTATTACTTAAATCTAATTTATGGTCAGAAGGCAAGTTTTGATTGGAATATATATATATATATATATATATATATATATATATATATATATATATATAGAGAGTGTGGTGATTTTAGCAAATGGCTGCAATATAACAAAGTGTGAAAAATTTAAGGGGTTCTGAATACTTTCCGTACCCACTGTATATACACTGTACATATACGAAAGAAAAACAAAATAAAGTAACATTAGTGCCCCTCTATAAAAACTTCTTACCTAAAACCAGGAGGAATGCTTTCATTTTTAAAGTCAGGTAGAAGCTCAAATGACTTGTCGCTCCTCACAGACACACAGCTGGCTTCTGTAGGGTCTGATCTCTCCTGCTGGATTGGGCTTCTGTAAAACAAACACTTCTTTAAAAATCATGAGGACATGTTTATCATCACATGTTTGAAATTGAATTTTAAATATTTAAATAAAACATTCACAGCTTTAACAAAAATGCAAGCTTTACATTTTTGCTTTTAAAACCTAATTTTCCTGTTAGATTTCCACTAAAAGTGTACTACTATAGAAATACTGCAAGTATTAAAAAATAATAATAATTCCAAATAAAGGACTGCGGGTCCAGTTATGCAAAAATACTTTTGTTTCCATGGCAGTTTCATCAAGTCATGATTAAAAAATCCTCAATCAATCTACCTCAAGCAAGCGTACTGCATAATAGCACACAAGCATATCTTTTAAATGCACATTTTAGAGATTTTATTCACATTTTGCTGTTTCCATCCAATGGCATTTTGTTATCCCAAAATTCACATAAAAATATGTGGATGTGTATATAGTTAGAGATTCTTTGTGCAACTAGTCAGATTAATTATTTCATGTTTCAACCACAAACCAGAATTCCTTAGCGTACCTTTAAGGTCTGTTCTGTGACCAGCCCTGAAACATACAGTAATTTATGCAAATGATTATGCTTAAAATCATATTTACTGAGATGACTGTGAACACCAGAGGCCTATACAGCAAAGTAGGATTAAGCAGCTAGCCAGATAAATTTGAATTTAGCTCATGCAAACTCTGGACTTTCATTTCCACAAAGGTAAATAACTTTTTATAAGGGTTCATTACCATCATACATCACCAAGTTTTCTGGATATCAGATCTCCATAAGACGTTTGTACTGCACATTTAAATGCATTACAGGGCTAGCAAAATCGCTTGGCCAATGTCCCGGGACCATTGTGTCTTCCAGTCGGGCTACCAAAATATATCATCACGCTGCCCGACGGGCTGTACTACAGGGTTCCGCAAGTCCTTAAAAAGTCTTCCAATTCTATAATTTCAAAAGGTATTAAATTTGGGGACTGAAAGACAAGTATCACAATATGGCTGGATTAAACTTAAAAGGCCATAACTTCACTGAATAAATGGGCTATGAGTGCTGCACATTTCAAAGTAAAAACATGGCGTGGGTCTCTTTATATGAACGTATCACTGGAGGGAACTGAATGTTTTCAGAAAATTTCAAAAGCATTTTCTTTTCATCTTTCCTATCCACCTTATTTTTCAACGTGGAAGTAATCCGATTTCTGTGAATGTGCGAGACTTCCAGTTCATTAGCCGTGGTAGGGAAATAACCAGAAGAATAACAACGTTCAGTAAATGATAAAACTGTTTGCTCTACAAACCAGTGTGTTCATAATTAAGATAATACATTAAAATAATATGGTGAGACACACCAGTTTGAAATATCAAGCAGCAAAACGAGCTGTTTTTGTACAGTTAAAAATAGCTGGACGCAGATGACACCAAAAGCCAGACACATAAAATTTACAAATGGCTGCGCCCACTCTTACAGTAAAAATAAGGTGGACAATGCCTAATAAAGTAGCGTTTATAAGCACTGCGCTGCTTTGTGTACAGCCGTTACCAGGGAAACCACTATATTTCTGCTTTGCCAAAATCGCCTCCGGCTGGCAAAGAATGAATGTGCATCATCAATAAACATTTATGTAACATAGCGTTACGCTTTGTTTTGCTAATGTTGGACGCTCCTCCTACAGTGGAGAGGCTCTGACAGCAATGGCATGCAAAGTGATAGAAAATAATTTATCAATCACAAACTGTCAGATTGACTTGATAAAGAGTTACCCACCACAGTTTATTTTTATCTACATTTGGCGGGGGGTTATTTCAAACCCTATACACTACAAATTCTTATATTAATTATCAAAAAAGTGGCTATTTTATGCCCATTTCACACTGGATGTTGAAGCAGTGCAGAAGCTACATGTATGTAGAGCAGAAGAACCATGCGTCCACTGTGCTTTCACTCTGGTTTCTAAAGTGCAACCGAACCACTGCTGATTGTGTAGCCCTCCATTATTCAGTTTCATGCTTTTGTTTATCTTCACAGCTGAATATGCAGGTGATCATAGTGTCCCGCTCTCACACAAACACAACACACACTCACCATTTAACCATATAACATGTTAAACCATATAATATGGTGGTACACAGTGTAGTTGATCATGGCACTGCTGCTTCTGCTCCTGTTACATGCTGCCTCGTCATTAAGTGTGAATGCTCCAATCTGTTAACATTGCTGCTGAAAAAAATATGACCCAATTATGCTTTGCTTACACGTCCAGTGTGAAATGTGCCTCATGGATGTTAGCACACTGAAAACAGTAAAACTGGGTCCTTCAATATCCTTGGAAACTTTTATCCATATTCAGATCATTTATTAAAATCTGATGAGAGTACCTAATTCCTGGAGAAGAATCTCCATCTCCGGATCTTTGTGTGTCTTCCATGAATCATTCAGTCATCATGAAGCTGCACAGATGAATCTGATGAGTCTAATCTCCAGCAACCTCTCTATGTGGAAATGAAAGAGACACTGATTTAGATACACAACTAACAAAATAAAACAAACACAGAGTCACACTAATTAAACTTTTTTTTTTCCCCGGCATTGACGTGATTGTTGTCATTTTTTTATTTATTTATTTATTTTTTGCTTATTTTAAAAGTTCACATCTTGGCGTTTCTTTCTTTTTTATTTATTTTATTGATGCGCCACACTCCAAAATCCCCAAAATTCTCATAAAAGAGGCCGGACTATGTTTGAGACTTGCCTTGGACCAAGAAATATTGATAAGTCACGTCTGGACAAACAGATCGGAACGGGCACTCTTTTCAACACACACACACAAATAATAAATAGACTCACTCACTCACAGTCACCCTCTCACAAGCTTCTATTCCACAGGAAGCAAAAAATAATATTTTTTTTTTCTGTATTGAGTACCAATTCCTAGAAGGCCAGGAATCGGTTCCCCCGCAAAAAAAAAAAAAAA